AACCACCAGAAAAATAAATTGGTAACACTTAGACGCATTGAAAATGTGCGCACACACACATACACACACACACACACACACACACACACACACACACACACACACACACACACACACACACACACACACACACACACACACACACACACACACACACACACACACACACACACACACACACACACACACACACACACACACACACACACACACACACACACACAGACACACAAACACACACACACAGGAATACATTTGTAAGGCTATAAAAAGTCTTATAATTTGTCAAATAAAATCATACAAAATGAAGAACCACCACAAAAATAAATTGGTGACACTGTACACATAAAAATAAAAATAAAATGTACACACACACACACACAACAACAACAACAACAGTGAAGTGCCAAACCTGCTCCAACCCTGTCTGCAGAAGTCATGCGGTTTACCATGCATAGTGTTTTTTCAGTACAAAAAATGCTAAATTTTGACAAAAATTATATTATTTTTGTTATAATTGTGATTTTATAATATTTAGATATGAATCCAACTGAATCCAACTTCAGAAACTATATCTTTCAGTAATTCAAATAGCAAATAGCATATAATGGAGCTCTATAGCCATCTAGTGGTTAAAGTGATTTATTACAAATTTTAACCTGTATTTTCCAAAAAATGGGCAAAAATCTTACATTAAACCTTGTAAAATTATCCATGGTATCCCCAGGAATGAAAGTTAGAAATCTGGGTCTTTTATAAAGTTTATTTAACATAAAATGCTGTTTTTTTGTAAAAATCCTATTTAATTAAATATTTATTTATTTATTTATAGAAATTAAAAAAAAAATCATAAATTCTCCAAAAACTGCACAAATGTTGAGTAAAAACATTAATAAACAGAGTAAAATTATATTTGTTAAAAAATATATATATTGTTCGGTTACAAAATTAAATGTTGTTGTCTGGGGTCCAATAGACCCCGAAGACCACGAGTGTGACTTTTTTTTGAAGACCATCAGAGGGTTAATATCTTCATATAAATTAACAATAGCCCCCTAGTGTGAAAGTCTTTGTTATGTTGTAGTATGTCAATGTATACACAAGTGTTTGTACAAACTTTGTTGATAAAAAAAGCAGTATTAGATCAACATTAGAATAACATAGCCTACAGATCATATTCTAACATTTCATCATGACATGTTGAGCTATAACTTATAACATTGATTAGTTGTTAGTACATTTGCTCACCTGTCAGTGGCGGAGCCAGGATTTTTTCATAGGGGTGGCCAGGCAGGGGCCAGCAAACAGTCTGGGGTGGCACATAAATCTGAATAATTTTAACATAATCATTAGTTATTTTCCTCCTGATGTCTTTTATTGACCAACGTCCAAGGTCAAGGTGAAATTTATTATCCCACAAGGGGAAATTCATGTGGTCATTCATTACACGCCCTTGTCACAACATATTCTCTAAAAACATAGACACCACAATCAAACCAGTAAACATACATATATATATATATATATATATATATATATATATATATATATATATATATATATATATAAATAAAATGACAATATATAAAAAAATTAAAGACAGAAATGACAATCACAATCCAACAACGTTTGTTCGATAGTAGAGCTTGGAAAAGTGGACTGTATTAGGTAATGGCTCAGATCTAACTTCATCAATGGGGTATCGGTCAGAACACACTGGATTCAGATCAGTTCAATCCAAAAGGAGGTTTATTGTTCCAGTCTTAACTGTTCACAACACAGCGGTACACAGGATGGATTGCTTAACAGGGTGGTTTGTAGATGGATGTGTATGTATATAGGTGTGTGTGTGTGTGTGTGTGTGTGTGTGTGTGTGTGTGTGTGTGTGTGTGTGGTATTCGTTTATTGACGCACACTTTCACACACAGTCCAGCTCGCATCTTACACTCTCTCGGCTGCTGATGACTGACTGAAAGTAGCGCATGCGCCTATGCTGATGGCCTTTCTAACAACGTTAGAAAATGACTAATATTATCAGGTAGCTAAAAATGTGATACATGTTGCCAAACACGCAGATAAGGCCAAAGGACAGAACACTCTGGAGGAGACTTTTATAAAACATTACAAGAATGTGTCTGTCTATTCTAAAATTATATAGTTTCCTAAGGAAGTACATCCGCTGATGCATTTTTTAAGTTTTGTTCAGTGCACATTCATTAAAAGTTAGTTTAGAATCAATTTCAACCCAAGTATTTATAACTTCAAACTCTTGGAGAACTTGGAAACAATGACAATTAATGGGCTACTTGACCGTGCAAATTCTCTGGCATTTCACTAGCGTGTAAGTTATGAAGTGTTATATTTATGTAGGCTATTATATTGTATTTTATATTGACTGTCTTAAATCAAGGCTGCAAACTCTCACGCCACACATCCATTTTCTCCCGCAGTAAGAAAAAAAGAACAAAAGGAGGATACAGACAATGACAAGGCATGAACAGGCAGTATTCAGACCAATCAGGGTAAACGCCCAACTTCAATTGTAATTTATTCTTATGCTTGCTGAGTCGTCAGCCTCTCTCCCTCATCCTGCAATGTGCGAACACAGGCAGGTCAGAGAGTTATGGTTATGGAGGCGCTTGAAAAAAAAACATAAGTAAATTTGTATTCAGATTTTAGAATGAGCGAATTGCAGAATTCAGATTGCAGTATAGGCTTACCTATATGTTGAGGTGTCTTGTTGTCTGTCCATTGATCTGTTCACTAATGAAGATGAACATAACTTTCTCACACTTTTTATAAACAGGGAAAATTCCCAAATTTGATTAAATAACCATTTAAATGTTTAAATTTATGCATTTGGCAGACGCTTTTATCCAAAGTGACTTAGATTGTATTTCAAGGTACACATTTTACATTCTTATCAATTCTTGCTTTCCCTATGAATCGAACCCATGACCTTGGCGTTGCAAGTGCCAATGATCTAGGCTACTGTTTGAGCTACAGGAAAGCTTTAGGACTTTTGAGATGAAAGAATGTACAGGGAGACTCGTTTGGTAATGTTATCTCATTAAAATCAGATGGTTTCCTATTAATTCAATATAATGTGTGGTAATACCAATATGGCAGTGCAGCATTATAACCAAAGGTTTCTCTTTGAAAGCAATGAATGAAGTATCCTGCAGATCAACAATTTACGCTAGCTACCCTGCGTGCTAAAAAGTGACGCCAAGGAGTCCTGACCAAGTGTCCATATGTGACGAGTTGGGAGTGAGAACATGTTGCACAATAAGACAGAAAATGTACAGTGTCTTAAAGGTGCAGTGTGCGATTTTTAGCGACATCTAGCGGTTCGGTTGCGAGTTTGCACTAAGGGCTCGCTCAGCCCACTGCTCACCCTTCCCTTTCGAAGAAGCTACGTTGGCTAAAACGGGACAAACATATCGTCGTCTGAGACAGCAGAGAATAGCCAGAGTAAGCCAAGAGTGTAAAAGTGATAAAGTTTACAAAGCCATAGTCAGGTGAGGATCAAGGGTCTTAATATACAGTATAATATAATAGTAATCAGCTGATTGTCTCACAAACGTAACCAGCACATTTCTCCCCACATAGCAAACCCATAATACAGCGAGGGAGAAGAACCACATGAAACTATGCAACTATATATTTTTTCTAACAGGGTAGTAAAAGTTTAGATGGCTAAATATGAGCTGTTACTGTGGCTGAGCTGGTTAAAGCGTAAAGCCTTGTTTAAACTCGACGCGTCCGCATGAGCCCAAAGGTGCGCGTGGCAAAAATGACATGATTGTGGTACTGATCCACTTTTGCGACACAACTGAAGCGTGGTGTCGCACGCCTCTCCACATTTGTAAGTTGATGGGCGTTCCTCAAGTTTACCGCTATGGGCGTGGTTTTGACCCAGCGGCCAGTCTAGAACTAAGGCCCCTCGAGAGACTACTTCTATTGGATAGACGCGTCGCGTTTGACGGATTCATTTGCATAAAGATGAGCATCGGCCAGCTTTTTGACGCGCAGCAATTTTCCAAATGAAGCGCCGCCTTACCCGGATGCTTTGCAGGCGCGTTAAAGTCGCGTGACGTCACCCATAGGAATAAAGTGGAGTGCGGCGCGACTGAAGTGTCACACGGACAAGTGGATCAGTACCGTATCAGCGCGCGCGCCTCCGCATCCCCTAGACACCATTTACTACACACAATAGGCTGATTTCAAAATTCTCTGATTTTGAAAACTCTTCGCGATCGACTTAAAATGCTTCCAAGATCGACTGACCGCGATCGACGGGTTGGCGATTCCTGTAACATACTGTTTTATGGTCAATGACAAGAGTACTAATCAGCTGTCTCACGAACGTAACCAGCACATTTATCCCCAAATAGCAAAGCCATAACACAGCGAGGGAGAAGAACTAATTACATGAAACAATCCAACTACATATTTTACACCACTGACAAGGGAAAAGTCTCTTTCTTACCTTCTCTTTCAAGGTAGTGACGAAACGCGCTCTGTAGTGCTGTTTGTTCGCGTTCGGCTGCGGTAGAAACATGACGTCACAATATGTCAACCTTCATAGAAGGGGGTGGCCGCGGTTATGTAGATATAAATGTCTCATTCTAAGGTAATAAAAACATTACGGTTTATTAAGTAAGTTCTTTATACACCACTGAAAACATAGTTATGGATGTCATATTACATTTCTGTTAATAGATACTCACAATTTTTACACATTGCACCTTTAATAAGGGAATGTATCTAAAACATTAAGAGTAAACACACATTTACCATTTAATTTAAAACATCTCAGATGCTTTTAACAAAAACTACCCAAGAACTAAATCCATTATCATGTTATTGCTAACAGTCCACTTATGGAACCCATGATCATCTATGATCATATGATTTACATTAACACTAACATGAGAGTCATAAAGGAATGCACACTGGGTTGAAAATGTAACTCAATACATTCAACATTATTCACATTATGTAGCATCAACAGCGTTCTTTGCCAAGTGAGAAAATATGTGAAATACAGCTGAAACACAGCAAAAGTTCTACCTTACACAAATAACACAAATGAGGTTTTAAACCTTTTTGAGCTTGTGAAACATTTACGCATAAACATTGTCATGACAACTGTTTTAGCATTTCTGTTTCATAAAAGTGCACAAAATAATTACATTTGACATATTTTTGGTGCTTGTGAAACATTTAACCTACTTCTTGCTGCAAGAAAGGAAATAAAAACTAATTTGCGCACTGCTCTAATATTTAACCCATAGATTACTGGATTAAAAACAGGTGGGACTATGACTAATTCTAAAGCCAAAAAATTACGCAGACTCTCTGGAATGTCATTTGAACCATATCTGTTATACATGAAATCAAAAAGGAAAGCAAAAGTGAAATTTATCAGCGATAATATGTGTGGCAGACACGTTTGCCAGAATTTCCTTCTGTTTTCTAAAGATGCTTTACATGCAGAGATCAGTTTAATATAGGATAATATGATAATAACTGCACAGCTAATCAATATAACGGCGACAATATATCCATAGACATTATTCACAAAAGATGATGCACAAGACAGTTTTACAACTGACCAGTTGTCACAATATAATTTATCAATGTGATTTTTACAAAATGGCCTCAAGTTTGATAACAGGACTGCTATAACTGAGACACAGTTGGGAACAATCCATGAAAACAGAATTAATTTCACACAGGTAAATATAGTTAATTTGGAATGATAATCTAAAGGTTTGCATATGGCTACATATCTGTCATAAGACATCACTGTTAGTATTGTAAACTCACACAGTAAAGAGCTGTAAATAACACAGATCTGCAGAGCACACATATGAGAGGAGATCACATATGAATCCAATATTAAATCAGACATCATTTTAGGGTAGAATCCAGAGGCTCCATAAACCCCATTTATACACAAATGAGACAAGAACATGTACATTGGTTCATGTAGAGATTTCTCCTTTATAATTACTATGACAAGACAAATATTCATTGACAAAATAAGCAGATAGAGGGAAAGAAAACAAGCGAAGTATAAGTGCCTATATGATTTGGAGTCTCTGGGCACCATGAGAGTCAGTATCACAGGATAAGACATGTTATCCATCACGAAATGGGTGGTCTCAAATTACAGTCACAGTCACAGTCACAGGCACACAGTCAATGAATAACATGAAGGCAAATAAACAGACCCATCCAGAGATGAAGAGCTGGGTCTTCAGAACTGGAACAGACAAGGTGTTGCTTGGCTTTATATTAAGTGATTTGTCATTTGGGAAATCTGTAAAAGAAGTTCTAAAATGTCTTGAGATTAATTATACACTCCTCAACAAACAATTGCAATCAATCTGAATTACTGAAATGAACAAATAACTGAAATGATTTATTCTTTAAAGCTGCAGTCCGTAGCTTTTTTGGGGTTAAAAATTATCTAAAATACATATTTGAGAAAATACATAACCAGCCAGTGTTCAACGCTATCCGCTTGCCGTAGCTTGATTCAAAACGGTAAAAGCTTGTAATAATGTTTTTAATTCCAGTGGTACTGGTGGATTTCCGCGGGAGATTCGAGCATGTCTTTGCGTCATTACGTCACATCTGTACACATAAGGAAGGAGTAGACTGTAACAAATTCAGGGAGGAGGACTATACTAAAATTCTAGTAGGGCCTAATAGGCTACTAGGCCTAATAGGCTAGTACTATAGTAGGCTACAGTAAAAAACGTTGGGTTATTTGTTTAACCCAACCGTTAGGATATTGGGTCAAATATGTAGGGTTATTTGCAAAAAAAAAAATGTTGGGTCATTTTAAACAATCGTTGGGTAGTAATAACCCCGCTGTTGGGTTACGGTTTCCGCAGCGACGGTTCAAATTTCAACGGTCCATTGACAGTCAACACAAAGAAGCGGCTGCAGCCTGATTATGAAAGGTAACTTAAGTCATATCGTTTTTTAAATGTATGTATATTATGTACTGAAACGTGGAATATAATCTAAAACTGAATTTTATATTAAAAAAAAGGATGTCTCCTTAGTCAGTTTTAAATTAATGCTCTCCAAGAAGTGAGATCGATTGGATATTAATCCTAGCTAACGTTAGTTAGCTCGCTAGCAGTAATAAAGTAATTATATACAACATTTATATAAATATTATATAAAACATTATAGTTTAACGTTTAGAGATGTACTAGCGTGCCTTACTACGGTGATAAACTAAGTAGGCTAGGCTTATAGTCTGAAAGCACTATATAGCATTTAGGCCTGTTTTACATTATTTGTGATAGTCTTTCACAACTGAAGCGGTGCTTCAGACTGGTACTTCTTTCGTATAGGTGCGACTACAATTTGTTAAAGGTTGCACGACAGAACGCTACAAATGCGGAACGAAAGAGCACTAATTATTTGAACCGTGCCGGCTGTCTTTTTTTTGTTGTTTTTTTTTTAATCGATTAGTCATCTTTATGGGCTCTATGCACGGCGGTATTTCCGGTGAAGGTCTAAGGATGCTGGATTACTTCCGCCGATCGTAGAGTCCAATGCTATACCGAGAATTTATATTGGTTTTTATACTCTTTTGCCATACTAAAGAAACGTTAGTCACAAAAACAGACAAAACAGACACTCCTCATTTTTTTTATGCTTCTGTGTTTATTATATTAAATAAACATAACTATATATAAAATTACATCTAAACGTATTATAGTTTCGTTTCAAAGACGAGAGGACAGTAAATTTTGAAGACTCTGCCATAATCCCGTTTTCCTCGGTTTTCCTCCACTTTAAATCTCCCCAACCGGAAACGCACGAGCATCCTTGCGTCAAACGCGGAAGTTATGCGTGCATATAGCCCATTGCAAAAAAAGGGTACAAATCACAAGTGACTAACCAAAATATACATAACAATATACAAGATTATAACATTGCTTATGGGCCATTACAAAGAGAAAGAGGACCATATGTTGACAGTTTTAATTGCCTTTTTGTTGTTGGAGCCAGAAATCAGATTAATATAATGTACAACTTCATGGAGAAAAAGAACAAAATTCGTTTTTTTAGCGCTGGATTTACATTTATGAATGTGAAATTTTGCCAAAAGAATTAATAAATATATAATGAAGTACATCTTTTCTTTACTTTGACTTCTATAAAAGCAAAATACCCCATGCGGCTGTCTATGGCGAGCTCAGACCTCGGTCACATGACATCACGACAGCGCTGTGAGATCCAGTGAGAAGTGTTTAAAGGGTTAGTTCACCCAAAAATGAAAATGATGTCATTAATGACTCACCCTCATGTCGTTCCAAGCCCGTAAGACCTCCGTTCATCTTCGGAACACAGTTTAAGATATTTTAGATTTAGTCCGAGAGCTTTCTGTCCCTCCATTGAAAATGTATACACGGTATACTGTCCTTGTCCAGAAAGGAAATAGAGACATCATCAAAGTAGTCCATGTGACATCAGTGGGTTAGTTAGAATTTTTGAAGCATCGAAAATACATTTTGGTCCAAAAATAACAAAAACTACGACTTTATTCAGCATTGTATTGTTTTCCGATTCTGTTGCCAAGCCTTTACTTGTAAAATTTCAAATAGTGTATTAATTTTTAGTTGGCAAAACTTAATTAATTTAGTAAAGAAAACTTGTTCGTCAAGTAGGCTACTGTTAACTCAAAATCATTAATTGTTTTAACTTATTATTAGTGTTCACATTACTAGGAAAATCTTAGGAAACCGATTGCCTTAACATTTTCAAGTAAGCTGAAGTATATAAACCAAATATGTTAAGACAAAAAGCAACAACAGATCTTAGGCAAAACATTCATTATTTATTACTCATCAATTTTCTTCAGGCATTACAATGTACCAAACAATGCCAAAATTCTGGCACCTCTTACATTGTAAGATTTTTCATTAATGTAACAATATGCATTACAACAAATCATGACTGATGAATGAATGAATGAATGAATGAGGCATTTATATAGCGCTTTCATAATGTACTTCTGTACACCCAAAGCGCTTTACAATCATATCAGGGAATCTCTCCTCAACCAGCACCAGTGTGCAGCATCCACTTGGATGATGCGACGGCAGCCACAGTACAACGGCGCCAGTGCGCTCACCACACACCAGCTATAGTTGGAGAGGAGAGAGAGTGACGTTCCCTGACGTTCCAAACCCATAAGACTTTGAAACACAAATTAAGATATTTTTTTATGAAATCTAGAAGATTTCTGTCCCTTCATTGAAAGTCCAGGTAAACAAAACTTAAAATATCCAAAAAGGTTATAAAAGGCATTGTAAAATGAATCCATTTAATTTTAGCATATTAATGACCTTCTTGGATCTTTTAAGTTTTGGTTAATGGAGGGTCAGAAACCTCTCTGGTTTTCTTTAAAAATATCTAAACGTGTGTTTCAAAGACTAAACAAAGTCTTATGGGTTTGGAATAACATGAGAGTGATAAACTGATGACAGAATTTAAATTTTTAGGTGAACTACCTTTAACAAAATCTCAAACAGCCTTCGATCAACAGAAGGTTTTTAAGTGAATGTAGTTTTGGATTTAGAGATTTGTGTCCAAGGGAAAGAAAAACTCAAAATCAGCCTAAACATTATAGGCACATGGCACCTGGAAAGTTTTCAAGATCATCCATGACTATGGCTCCGTCTAGAATAATGCAAGAAGACTCCAAATAGTGCTTGTGGAGGGAGAATCCTGGCTGTCTTCCCTTGTCACGGTCAGAATCCTGATTAAAGAAGTTTTGGGTGCCAATCACAGTCCTAATAAAAACAGGAACAGCAATATTAAAATTCTGGTTACATTACAAATGAAAATCCATAACCAAAATCCATATAACAAAGTATCAGGTCTACGTACAACTAGCAGAGATTAATTATGGTTGTTTAAGTATTGTCTGAAACAGACAAAAAAATAATAACAGTATAATAATTAAGAACTTGTATTCGACAAAATGTTGGATTAAAAAAAAGAAAATAAATGAAACAAATGCAGAGTTTGCATGTCTGATCCAAGATAAGAGATTTGAATTAAGCATATATGAATGCCTATGTAATGTATGTGTGGGGAATCAAAGTTTTTAATGAAATATACAGAGAAAGTTATCTGTAAACATTTGTTTGAAAAAAACAAAAAACAGGTTTCTTTTCCAAGAATGAGAGGAAGGCCATGAAGAACTGTGCACATAGCAGTGATGACAGTGCTCTGAAAAAAAAAGAGTTTAAAATGGAATATTAAATTCAGTGACGTCAGCCCTCTGATAAATGTTACAACATAGAATTAAAAAAAAAAAAAAACTGAGCTAAAACAGTACCAGAATTTTGTTTAAGAAAGAAGCATTGACAAGCTTACCATATATTTAATTTGCGCAAGACTCTTGAAAACTCTCTTTTCAACTGCCACTTTTTTAGTTTCGAGCAGGATGTAGATCAAGTGCTGAAAATAATTCTTGGTTGAGGCTTTTGATTGTGATGCGATTAAACTGCATTGATCTGTGAAAGAAAAGAAAAAAAAGTTAAATATGGATTGGGCTTTTGGTTAAAGGGATAATTGTTTGGAATGATTTCTTGTTAAATTCATCTTAATGCATTAAATAACTTGAATGAACACAAACAGTTTGTGTGAAGGCATGGAATTGGACTAGTTCTGGTGCAGCTTCCATGTTTTAAGCGACACTGCCACAAAAAAACCCCGCACTGTCATCACTGTCAGAGCACTGTCATCACTGCTACGTGCACAGTTCTTCATGGCCTACCTCTCATTCTTGGAAAAGAAACCTGTTTTTTGTTTTTTTCAAACAAATGTTTACAGGTAACTTTCTCTGTATATTTCATTAAAAACTTTGATTCCCCACACAAACATTACATATAGGCATTCAATAATGCTTTATTAAAATCTCTTATCTTCTGGGGGCGCTCCAGTGCGTGTGCGACCCAGCAGCTCGCCCATCCAGTGTTTGTTTGTTTGTTCCAGTGTCTGTTTTATTTTATCGAGTGTCTATTGTGGATGTTTATGCGTGAGTGGAAAGCACCAGTGATACAGAGATGCGGCTTTTAAAGACTTTCGATCAACTGTTCGCTTTATTGA